AATGGCTCCCCGCTGTTTTCAGGACTGATTGCTCGCTATACAGGCATCGGAAAATGGCTGCCCTATGGAGGATCTTTGCAAAACGAGCAGGTATTTCCCCCATTGGAACACATTGAACCGGTTTTCAATGCATTTCAATGTTTTTTTCTTTTCACTTGACGACGATTTTTTGAACGGAACGGATTATCATCATCAAGAGAGGCACCACTGTAATTGAAGAGACAAATCTTGGCAGATATTGGTTCAGTTTAAAACCTTACTGATGTTCTGAATCCTTGTCAAGGTTGGCAAAACAGCAAAATGTCTGAATTATATTTCATTCCCCACAAACCGTTTCATTTGAACCATGACTGTAAACATTTCAAAACATTTTAAAAACCCCTTTTCCATTAAATGAGCAAGACACTAATGTATTTTCATTGGTTAAAACCCATGGACTCAGAGTAATTCTGCAGGCCTGCTGATCAACATTAAAGTTCAGTTGTTCTCTCACCATTGTTAGCAACATTCTCAGCTAAAGTAATGTATGCCTCTTCTCTGTATTGCCTTCCCAAACACAAACATTTAGAACTGATTCAACATACGTTGCAAGAACCTCACATAGAAAGAAACACATGGTCCTCTATTATATTTATTTTCCTCATAATCACAATATTGCATTTATTTTAATATATTATGGCTGCAACCCTAAGCATCTTTAGTTGAAGGCAAGTCCCATGGAACTCACTGATACTTATTTCTGAGTATCATGATTAGGATTCAGAGTAAAGCACACAGTGTGACAGCTTTAGGGTTTCATCACCAAGAAGAGATACGACTCTTAATAGAGGCTAAAGCTCTACATAATCCTTTTCCATTTAATCATCTCATCACCCAATATTTGATTGCCAAAAAAGACAGGCTTTGGGGGTGGGGAGGGATTGCACAAAAAGAAGGAAAGATATTAAGTTTCAAACTAACTAGGGTTTAGGCTGGGACGAGCAATCCACAACTTTCAAACCCTTCTGGGAGAGTCAGTTCTGATCTCTGGCAAAAATGATCTTTCATTTCCCTGGCATTCTGCCAGTTCAGAAGGAAGAGCAAGTAAGGAAAAGGGGAAGCTGACAAAGGGAATGGTCACACCCTTCTTTGTTTTTGGCCCCAGTGATTGCTGTCATAGAGCATCTGACAGATCATTCCACACCACAAGATATACAGCCCTTGGGCCAACTTCCGATTTAAATGTTAGGAAAGAAAACACTAGTACTGTACCTGGTGTGGTGTTGTGGATGGAATGACAGACTAGGATTTTAAAAACTTGGTTTCAAATTCCTGCTCTGCCATGGAGACTTATGGATGACAGGCACTAGTAAAACCATTACTTAACTATCTAATCTCGAAAACAGGCACTAGTAAAACCATTACTTAACTAATCTCGAAAGCTTTAGGATTGCTATAAATCAGTCCTGGCTTTCTGAAAGATAATGGAGAAGGGAATAGAGATCATATTATGTGATTCTGCTCCAGCTCTCCCAGTTTTTCCATTATTTTTCACCCCCAGCACACAGTGGTCAAAATCTTTTGGCTTAGCACAGTAAATCACACCACAGTGGGGATTTGGTGAAGTTGCTTAGCACAGTAAATCACACTACAGTGGGGATTTAGTGAGTCAACTCCACTACAAGTTCCATTGACTCAAATAGACCCAATTGAACTGCCCTGCTAAAGTTGCATTTAGGGCAGGCCCATTTGAATCAAGGCAGGTTGCATTTAGGGCAGGCCCATTTGAATCAATGGAAGGTACGGAGGAGTTGTGAAACCAAATCCCCACTGACTCAGTTGGCTTACTTTAGTGTGTTTTACTATGCAAAGCAACAGGATTTTGGCCAGTCTCTTTTTGCCATTTAGTGCAAAGCAACAGGATTTTGGCCAGTCTCTCTTTTTGTCGTTTACAGATGCTTTATGAACACTTCACTACAGTGTGATGCAGGACTTGCTAGTGTTGCTTCCATTCCCAGGACCTCTAGAAGCCCCAGAATCCTCTAACCAGCTGTGGAAATGTGAGGGCTGTAGCCCAAAAAGATAAATGTTTCTAAGGTCCAACTCCATCCCAACATTCTTCGAAACCTACATTCTTCTTCGATATTTTATTAACTTTTAAAAATCAGCCTAGGTTTAAACAGAAATGCTATTGTGGAAGAGGGGCTTAGGTGCTAAAAATGCATAATGATAAAAAATAATCGTGCGTCGTCAAGTCAATTCAGGCTTATGGCGACCCTTTTCCAGGGTTTTCCAGGGTTTTCCAGGTAGATAATATTCATAATTGCTTTCCCAACCCCTTCTTCTGGGGGCACCCTCGGGCTGTGCAGCCAGCTTCAAAACATAGATACAGAAAAAATATTGACAAGAAAGGGGAGCTTTAGCCCAGGAATAGTGGATAGTGAAGAACAGGAGGAGCGGCCTCGACTTACCCGCGTCTCTTTCCTGCTGCTAGGGCGCCTTCCACTTTTATGTAGGTTCCCCTGTTTGGGGTACTATCCCTTTAAGAGACAGCAGCGCCCACCTTTTTTCTTAACGTTTGCAAGGCAAGCATCGTGGCCAGCTCTCAGGCGCATGCGCAAACTACTTTTTTTCAACCGTTCTCGTTCCGCGGGTGGAAGGGCGCCTCTGAGTGACGTAATATCTCCGCCGGGAACAGCTTCATAATGCGCACGCGCACCGCACCAACGGTCTCTCCCTCTCTCGGAGATACAAACTCAGCCTCGTTTCAGGCACGTCGGCAGTTACTGCCTGAAGTCGAGCGGCAGGTTGCGCGCCTTTCTGCCCAACGGCTCCTCGAATCTTCGAGGAAACCAAGCACTGACCTACGACCTGGAAGATTTAGGAGCCATTTTGATTGTGGGCAAAGGTGGTCATTTAAGAATTCCCGTCGCTAATACTAGATTTAAGCTCAATTTGGCCAACTCTCATAAATTGCTCGCTGTTAAAAGTTAAAAACTTTTCCAAAATTACACTGGCGTTTGCGTAGGATCAGATTTTCTATAAAGTCTTCTCTAGTAAACTTCCACTTTGTTTTCTTTCCCCGATTTACTCTTTCTTCTACTGTATTTGCTTTTAAAAATAGCTGGCCTGGCCATTTTTGGAAGACATACTGAACCATATTTCAAGCAAATCATTTTTTTCTCTGACAGCTTTCTCCACTGCCCAGATTTTACAACTTTAAGTAGTAATGGGAAATACAGTAGTATGAATGATCCTGGCCTTGGTTTCCAATGACACATCCTTACACTATATATTTTCTAATTCAATGTATTTTCGAAGGCTTATTTTCTAATTCCTTCATTGGTGCCTTTTAGAGTCTGTCTTCTGATTTCAAGGCTGCAGTCTCATTGGAACAATGATTGAACCAACATATACAAAATCACTATTTCGAGGTACACAAAGTCATGAACAACCTCCACACAAGAATTGTGGTTCTTCTATAGTCATGATTTTTGTCTTAATGTTCAACTGCAGTCTTGCTTTAGTACTTTCTTCTTTCAAACATCATCTCTGTCACTATGACAGCAAGCCACCACAAATGCTTAACTATTCTTCAATGAAGATGTTGAGACTGCAGAAGGAAAAAGGGTTTCCTGGCAAATTAAATGTAGTGGTTAGCATATAAAACCACAACTTAGGAGACTGAGTTGGTGGCAGTGATTAAACTGCAGTGAAGCCTCCACTCACAATCTGAGTGCAATCCAGACAGAATGGAGTAACTCAAGGCTGACTCAAGTTTACAAGGTTGGAAAAATAAGAATCCAGTGTGCTGGAGGTGGGGGCAAAGTGTTGTTTGCATTACTATGTTTTAATCTTCCCAGAGTGAGCTTTAGTATACAAGTCAAAACAAAAACAACAACCTGGATTCAAATACTGTATGCTTGTCCATGAAACTGAGTGAGCTGGGCCATTCTGTCTCTCAGCATGACCTTTTCACAGGGTTATGAGAATAAAGGGGGCATAGAGCCATATACACCACCTTCAGTTCACTGGAGAAAATGTGCAATATAAATCAAACTATTATAGAACAAATTTGCATGGATTACAATATACTTCCCTCAGATGCCCTCTCAGGCAAATGTTTTTGATGCCTACTTATAAAATTCCCAAGGCTTCCATGTGTTCCCAAACTTCATGAAAGGTTATAGTATCTACCTGTTCAAAATAATTTTCCCCACATCCCTTTTTTTCAATTTAGCATCAGACTGACCATAATCTCCTTTAATGGTAACAGAAGTTGCCATTCATTCCTTTGTTACGCTGGGTATGAATCAGACACCGACAAAGCAGAAATGAATTTAAATAAATTCCTTTTTTGCCTTTATTTTCAGGGGAATCCAGAGAAATTAAAAACCATGTGAAGAAATTAAAAACCAGAGCATTAAAACAGAGAGAGAAATAGGGGAGGGTGAGACATTAGCCCCACTCAGGACAGTAGGGGCTGTAACAGCAAAGGAAGGGAGGTAGGCAGGTGGTATAGCTTCCCCTTTCAAGATGCCTGGGCTTCTCCGGTCTTCAAGAGGGGGGGAGAGAAGGCACCTTGCCTCTCCCCTTGTGCCCCCCCATATCTTAGCGGTGCTTCCCCTGTGAATTCTTGGAGTTAACCTTTTCCATCCAAGGTGTCCGTATAGACCATCACTTTGCTAGGAGCTAGGAAACAAAACAAAAATAAAAAACAAATGGTTGTGGGAAAACGAACAGCATTTTTCAGGGATATGTTCCTTAGTATACACACACACACACACAAGCCCCATTTCTGCTTCAAGCACAATGATCCAATTATGTTAAACTGATGCCCAACTGAAAGTTGCTTAGCAATGCACACCCACATTATCTTATGACTGGCTGACAGCTGTGAACTCCAGTGCCTTTATTCTATCCATCATCCTGAATCTCATGGTTTCATGCAGTACATATGCCCCAACTGCAGATAACGAAACAGCTCAATCGCTCAGCAAGTGTTTAACCTGCTTTTTGACCTCCCTACTCCAAACAGAAAACCCTGGGTAACCATGCTTTTCAGCTTCACATCACTGTCTTGGGAGTTCCTCGGACTATATACTAAGATTGGAAGTATTTTTCATGCACAATATGATACTTCTATCGGATGCTCCAACTCTGTAGATCAGAATTAGCATTACTTAGCAATAAGGTCTTCAAAGCTATAGAATGTTATGGAAGAGAGCAGGCAAACTATTTTAAGAAAGACATCATATAAAAAGGAAGAATGGGTATGTTTCAACTTTCGAGCACAATTTTCTTCAAAAGAAAGGTGGTAAATTTTTTACCCCACTGGCAAATAAAATTGTGAGATGAGGTACAACTGGCTACATGGCAAGACATTACTACAGTAGGGCCACCATATCTGCAGGATCAGTATGCGTGGTTTCATATACCCGCTGCTAGAAAATATTAAATTAAAAACCCAGAAAATAATAAATTAAAAACCCAGAACTGGCCATTAGAGGAGACTATGCTATATAGGGTTTCTCTGTCCATGCTTTCTGGCATCCATGGGGGATGGGGGGGCTTGCAACGGATCACCCACAGATACTGTCCTCCTACTGTACACTGAGAAACCACCATCTACTCTGTAACCATGCACACACCAAGTTTCAGTTTCCTTTACTATGAATCACACCTCTGTGTAGAGTCCCAGCTGTTGTTTCTATGACAAACACAATGTATCAGACTTAGGAGTAAGCACCTATTTCTGAGAATCTCTCAACACTTTCCAACCGAACCCGCCCAATCTTCCAATTCACACAACTCCGCACCAAACGTTAACACTACCTTTGAATTAGGAATGGACAACTGTAGCCCTCCTATGTTTTTGGCTTACAACTCCCATCCGTCCTCATTAGCATAATTATAAAGGCATGATGAGAGCTGCAGTTCAAAAACATGTAAACTATACAGTAGGCCACGTCTGAACTATAGAATCTAAACCATGTTTATGAAGTTACAGATTCAGTGTCCAAGATCTCCAGTCATAATACAGCTACCTGAACGTGAAACACAAAAGCTAATCAGTGCAATACTGAGTTACATATGTCAGTAGTCTGTATATAAGACCATTTAGTTCATGACTATAATAGGTTCTTTCCATTACTCACCTTGAATGTGTAGTTCCCATATATGACTCCACTCTGTATATAAGAGAGAAAAATTGAAAATTAGAAGCCAACCCCTACTGCTTTCCACTCCTAATAAAACACCAGTATCTGTAAGGCCACCTGATACAGTCAGAATGATCATTCCTGACGTGCCATAGTTTTAGTTGAATCACTGCCCTATTGGCATTCTAAAGACAGCTTTTACAACTATCACAAAAGGCAAGAAACAGGCTGCTTTTCATACGTATCCGGTAATCCAAATGAAAGGTTTTCAGATATCATTTATCTTCTCTCTTTCTCTCCAAAATGTTCAATTTTCTATGAAACTAGTCATAATCACCAAAGTATACATTATTTCACTTCCCCTCCCCAGCGGTGTTTCCTCCTGCCATCTTACCTTCCAAATGATAATTTCTTGCAGCCTGCCAGTCGTTGGCTTCCATTTTATCCCAGCATGCTCCAGCATCTGCATCTTCTACCTCCTTGTCTGGTGCTGTCCCACCGCCCCCTCCGTGCCCAGCTCCTGGCTCGTTGATAAAGGAGAGGCCCCATTCATTTTGAAAGATCGCTCCCAGATGCTGCCGCCGACTGCTGTCAATTGGTGGGGAACTGCTTGGGGGTGGTGCCAAAACACAGTTGGGGAGGCTATTAGTGGTGCGGACAGCTGAGGCAGGTACATGGCAGGCTTTCCCGGGCTGATCCAAATTCTCTTTCAGCTTACTGGCATAAGAGATCTTGGGGATGATGCGGGCACTGCTGCTATCAACTGGGAAAGCAGGAAGGGGCCGGAAGAGAGACCACGTTTCTTTCCCAGATTCTTCGGCGGCTGCGTTAGATGCAACGGTGGGCTTCTCACTGGCTTTGACCGTGCCATTCCTCTCCGACTCAGGGGACGATGACAGTGAAGGTGGGTCAGAATAGCCGCGGCGCCGATGCTGCCATCGCCCGTTGGACATACCCTCTGGAGCACAGTGATGGCCATTGGTACTGGGGCCCCACTCCTTGCGGTCCGAGGTGCTGCCACGGTAGGTCTTGCGGTAGGCAGCATGGAAGGGTCGGCCATGGTAGAAATGAGGAGGGTAACGGCGGGGGTGATGGGGAACGGGGGGATCCCGCTCAGACAACTGGAGATTACGGATGTTAAGGCTGTTTGAAGGACTCAGGGGAACGCTGGGCTCGTCAGCTATCTCAGAGGGTGCCGTATAACCATTTGTCTCCCACGAACCTAAGCCAGAGCAAGAGCAAAGGTAAGAGCAAGGTTTACAGAGTTGTCAGACTTCGGAATGGAGAACAAGGTGATTTTGCTGTGAAGTAGGCCTCCCAAAAGGAGATCAAGCCCTCCTCACTGCCTTCCATCATTTTCCCACTACCAACATCATGACAGGGCCTGTTCTTTCTAGACTTTTAATTTTTGCTGTCTCATGTTAACGCTTACTAAGAATACAACACCACTATATGCAATACTTCACCACTTCTCAGGGTTAACCACTACAAAACAGAGCAGACAGCTCAGCTAGTATTGGTGATGTTTTGCAATAAGGTTGGATGAATGGGAGACATCAGCTCAGGTTCAGATGCTGACACATTTCAAACTAATATTTCAATGCCTGAATAGCTGGGTGCTTCTTTTGCACAGAAGGTAGACAGTTTCTGCCTGCAGGAGGCCAACAGGAAGGCACACAGAGGCCCCTTGTGGTACAAGACCCTAATAAGTACCAGCATCTGTTCAGGGCAGGAAATAGCCACAGTCTAAGAAGAACTGGGTTATGAGACCCATAAGTGGCATGGGCCTGAGAGACCTTTTTCTGAGCCTGTTGGGTGCCCATGTCTCACCAGACCTAGGGAAAAAATAAGTTGGGGTGAATGGTTATTTTGCCCTCCTAGAACCTTCTAGGAGCTGAGCAGGAGTTTTTTTTAATTAAAAGAAAAACAAACAAACTCTGAAACTACCTTCCCCACAAACATAGGCACATTTTCAGGTCTAATGTGTCCAGTACTAAGTTGTGGAGACAAAAAATGGTCTCTCAGCCATCCAGCGTCCTGTCCCACCCTCCACGAGTTAAAAGATTGCTACCAACAGGCATTTCAAACACCCTCAATCCTTCTAACACTGGGGGGGGGGGGTTTAACAGGAATTTTCCTTCTGTTTTCTAACACAGTCAAAGATGAGAAACTACTACTTTGGAATGGATTTTTAACCTCCCACTGTTTTTTTCCCTTGTAATTTGGCCAAACCCTTTCCATCAGCCCACAAAAGTTACTAACCTGCATTTTCCCCCTTACAAGCCACTTTCCATAAAATTAACACAACACAGAGTACAAGCCTCTTAGGCATTAATAAAATAAAAATGAAATAGACTTTCTACCAAAAAGGTTGGTGGGGGAAGAATGGCTTTCTCCCTTCAGTTTAGGAATGGCAATATTTGCCATTCATTTTCCAGCCCACCTGAAACAGCAGGTTGCCTCAACTTCCTTGTTAAGGCTGATTCAGGCTTGCAATTTTCAAGTTTCTGAAAAGAAACAAGAGGCAGACAAACATGCCAGTCTAAGGCCTAAATTTCTTTACCTAAGGATAAGATCCCAGAAGACCTAGATTCAGGAATCCTTCCTGTACATCATAAAACTGAACTTCATTGCCTTAAAAACTTAAAAAACATAGTCCCCCAAATATTCTTAACTCACAGGTTTATTCTGCACCTAAACAGACACTATCCCTTCCTAGAACACACTAGAAGCGGTTCATCTGCCATTTAAAAAAATGTAACAATGAAGCAAGAGTGGTGAATATGCACCCTTACTCTACCAACAGAAAGAAAGACAAGGGGTGCCTACAGTGTGGAATTCAGAGGTCTAGGCTCTCAGGGTGAAAGTGTCCCCTCAACACTGAGATGCAGCCATCTCATTATGCGAAACACACAGATAACAGGACAGACAGGGAAAATGGGGAAACCCCAATCCCAGTTGAGTCCAACACACCTTCTCTGGAGACCTGGCTTGGCATGTAGCCCAGCTCTGCTCCACCCCCTGCATGACAGAAAGAAATTTTACTTTCAGCAGTTGCTCTAGGAAGGATATCTAAAATTTAAATGGCTATTATAAAACACAAACCATTGAATAATACTTGGATAGGCCCCGCCCCTTTCAGGAACAGGAAACTGAAACTCTGGCAGCAGAGTCTGGTCAAATAAATCAAAGATAACTGGGAAGTTGTGGACAAATCTCTCTCTCTCTGTGGACTAATGTAGCACCTGGTGGTTTAAGGTACTGGTTTCTTAACATGGGCTATCTAGGCCTGTTGAGGCAAGGAGGCACACAAAGTATGTGCTGGAATGGCAGAAGGGATTATAGCCCTACATACGTGGCACAAAGTGGATTTACAGGCAAAGAATGTAGAAATACGAATGTATTTAAGATGCTGGGTTGGGAGAACTTGTCCCAACAGTTCATAGGTTCTTGGGACAGAACAGGTAGTGGATGCATGCAAGGAACCTGGACGTCAGTGGATAGAGAAGAGTGACAGACAGGAGAAGCAAGGCTGGGAATGAAACAAATCTGAGAAAATTTGGACCTGCACATCCAGACAAATAGGTTTTTTTTCTAGATCTAAAGTAGACTACAGGATGCCACCCTGTATGGACGCGTGCACGTTACCTGTGCGGATGCGGTTGCTGAGACTGTGGCATTTCTCCTTCTTTCCTCCCAGGAGACGCAGCTCCTCTTCTGGGTTGCGGTTCTCATCCATGCCCAGTTCCTCTTTCTGCATGGCCTCTGGATGAAGGACGGCAACAGCAGTGGAACCTCAAGGATGCTTAACGTGTTTCTTAAAACCAGGAACCCAACCACAGTCCTGTTCGGAGCTTTTATGAGGACACCCACTGATCAGTGGCTTTTCTTTTTCTGCCCTTCAAACCGGTGGCCTTTTCCTGAAGTGACAATATTTCCCCGCCCCTCACAAAACTAGCTCCCTCACCACACAGAATAAGAAGTTTTCTAAATTGCAAGGAGTTTCCTAAAGAAAGCTCCCAGGCCCCCTGCCCTCTTCCCAAAATCTACAGTATTACTACAGCTTACCGGTTGAACCAGCTTCTCAATACCAACACTCCTATTGTTTTTGTGCCTTTGTCTTAATACCCTAAAGTAATCCCAAGGAAATTTTATTTTTTTCAAATACCCTTGAAATCAAAACCAAACAGAAAATAACTTCTCCCTCCTCTCCTCTCTTTCCGAGTTGTCTCTACGCCCTACTGCTTCCTCTCCCCACTGTTACTCAGCACCGATCTCCTTAATTACCCCTCAAACACCGCTTCGCACAACTGTAACGGAAGTTTCCTTCCGTCTCTCCAACTAAAAGCCCCTGTGCTTAAAAATTTCGAGAGGGGGAAAAAAAAAGAGAGAACAGTTTTTCCTCCGTTAAGTCCCTTCCCTGTGAACGCCCCGCACGCAAACCCTTTGCTGCCCTCTAGAGAGTTTTTTTAAAAAAATAAGCACAAACCCAAATCTAACCTTCTCTTTCTGGGCACTAACTTCTCCTCTCGCCTGCTTCGTCTCGCCTCCCCGTTCCGCAAATGGGGCCCCCGTTTCAGAGGCCAGTGAAGTCCCTCAGGCCCACACTCGCGCGCCCCAAAAAGAAACCCAGGGCCCCACCTTAAAAAAAAAAGACACACACACGCCCGCGCTTCCCTTTCCAAAGAAGGCCCTGAAGAGGGCTCTTCCCTCGTCTTTCTCCCAAGGTCCGGCTGCTCCCTTCGCCCCCCCGGCCGGCTTTGCACCCCCCGAGGCCTACGACGCGCCCGCGCCCTCGTCTCTCGCCCGCCTCCCTTCACCTTCTTCAGGCCCAGGCGATTCCCCCCAAGCCCGCCCGGTACATTCAGTCAGCCAGCCAACCCTCGCCACGTGACCGGCTCCCCTCTTTGGCCTCCTCTGGTCATGTGACTTCCCGGGCGCCGCGGTTTCCGGGCAAGTAATCCTGACCCTTGACCCCGCCTCAACCATATGACGTTGAGCTCGATCACGTGACAGTGGCTGGGCTGGGCTGGGCATCCCTCCCGGTGCTTAGGCTCTGGGTGTTGCCTCCATGTTGAGCTGAACGTTGTTTTAAAATAGGTGTTTATATACCATTTCCGTATAACTTTTTTTTAAAAAAGGAGAAAGTGGTGCGGTCCTTGCTGTTGTTGCCTGCCGTGGAGTCGCCGCCGACTTACGGCAGTCCTATGAATCTCAAAAACGTCCTGTCCTCAATAATAGCTCAGCTCTGGCAAATCCAAGCCTGTGGCTTCCTTGATGGAGTCAATCCACTTCATATTTGGGCCTCCTCTTTTATTTATTTATTTATTTATTTATTTATTTATTTAATTTATACCCCGCCTATCTGGCCCACCGAACCACTCTAGGCGGCTTCCAAATATAAAATCAAATAATAAAACATAGACAAATACATACTTTTCCTGCTGCCCTCAAGTTTTCCCAGCATTATTTTTTTCTCCAGGGAATCTTGCTTTCTCATGTTGTGCACAAAGTGTCACGACCTCAGTTTTGCCTTTGGATAGTTCAGGCTGTATTTGATTTAGAACCCAGTTGTTTATCTTCCTGGTAGTCCAGGGTATCTGTAAAGCACTCCTCCAGTACCATATTTCAAACATTTCCCCCACCCAAAATAAATAAAGGAAAAGGCCATGTGGTCTTTAAAATTAGAAAAGTGCAAGAGTAAGCAGTATCTTTATTAGTCAACTAAATAGTAAACAAAGGGCAAGCTTTCGTGGGCAAAGTCCACTTTTGGCTAGCCACAAGTAATTTTTGTATGTGCTGAAAAATTTAATTCCTTTTGTGGAAGTGGGTCAACGTGCCATTATTAACCATGCGCTCTATATGTTTGTCTCTGTATGCACATATATTATATGCCATTCATAATAGGAAGTACATTATAGTCCACAGAAACCCATGCTATAATTAATCAGCTTGTCTTACATCTGACATGCAAGTCTTTTATTTTTTCAGCTGCAGCAGATCATGAGAATGGCTGATGATCGGATTCCAAAAGATCTCCTGTACGGAGAATTAATGCAGGGAAATCGCCCCCGAGGGAGACCACAGCTGCAATACAAGGATTTCTGAAAGTAGGATAGGAAGGACTTAGGAATGGACCTCAACAGATGGGAAACCTTGACATCTGAGCATTCAGCCTGGAGGCAGGTGGTGCACCATGGCTTCTCCCAATTTGAAGAGACACTTGTTCAGGCCAAAGCAGAGGCAATCCCAAAACCAACAAAATCAGGAAGATGGACAGGGAACAGATTGTATTTGTCTTCAGTGTGGAAGGGATTGTCACTCTCCTATTGGCCTTCTCAGCCACACTAGATGCTATTCCAAGACCTCTATTCAGAGCACGTTACCATAGTCTCTCAAGACTGAAGGATGCCTACATTTGCAGCAGATAGGCATAGCTACCCCTTTGAAACTGCACTGGATGGAGGTTTCTTAAAATTAAAAACTACATACGCATCCACATACTGCACAGCAACGTTTCAATCACGTTGTCTTCTCAAGAAACAATGTGTTGCTCTAGATTGTAGGACTGGAATTGCCATCAGTGCTAAGTAACATAGCCAATGGTGAGGGATGATGGGAATTAGACTCCAATATGTGGCCAGCCACATGGCATATGAAATCACCTTTCCATCTACAAGAGGAAAGCTGCCCACCATACCATTATCTATACAGCCAGCTTTGTAGTATGAATGGACTATAAGGACCAGAAAAAGGCAGACTATTGCCTTCTCATATTCTGTCTACAATTAAATGCCAGCAGCAGGAGCCAGATCAGGTGAGATCTGGTTCTTTGATCAACTAGTAGAACAGTAGGTCTTGTTTCTTCCTGCTACAAGGTACTGCATCTGTAACATTTCCCACACATCCCACTTCCAACCAGTCAAAGCACTGATGAGACTACTGTATTGCTTTCTCCATTTGTTGCAACCCAGAAAAAGGTGGTAGTAAAGAAATGGAGAAGACATTCAAATAGCACTCACCTTTCAAACACTGGGAATGGAGAATCCAGAACTAAGAGAAAATGTCTTAGGAGAGGGGCCACAGGCAGCAAAATTACAGGGCAGCTGCCAAACACTTGTGGGCTGGGATTCAACCCATAAATTGTTGCCATCTAAGTCCTTTTAAGGAGAAAAGTAGGGTAAAATATTTTAATTAATAAATAAACAAATCTGTACTACTCTCTAAATAAAGCTGCAGTTGACACTGATTGGGTAGATGCTTTTCAAGACATGACAATTCCCTAGAGAAGATCATTCTCCTCTGTCTTTCACTTGCAAGAAATAACAAAAACATTTTTAAGCAGGAACCTTTATTACAATAATTTAATAGAAAAAAACACAATTTAAAATAAATTATGCAAATACAAAAAGTTACAATAATTAATGCAAGGTTACCTCCTCCAGGGAGGGGAGGATATACAGAAAGAAAAACAAAGAGGGTGGGGGAAAAGAATGCCTTTCCCTCTGTAAAAGTACCTTTATCAGACGGCATGTTACAAAATGTAACGGTTCAAGACAAGCTCACCTTCCTCTACCCTGCCACTCCATCTCTACCATCTTTAGGAGCATCTGCACATGTTCCATCAAAGAACTGGCTCAAGAGACTGCTGGAGTGTCCATATTACATTTTGCTGAAGGTGATGTAAAGCTGCCTGTGATTCCCTACAGAAAACAAGGAGGTGTGAAAACATTCTGGAAGGCAGGAAAGACTTAATTACTCTGTCTGTTTGAAGAAGAGAATGAATAAGGGAATATGAATTCTGTACCTTAAATATTTGTTTATTGTGGGTGTGTGGAAAAAATCATGTGTTCACATCCTATTGCTTGGGAATGGATGCCTAGTAAACTGGGATTCTGAAGGACCATATGTATTTTGAAGCACACATCAAACTACTGTACCTTGTACTGCAAGCAGACATGAAGAGGGAGTTCATATGGATCCAGGTCAGATGACACATACTTAAGTTAACCATATCAAACAATGGCTGAAATCCAGCAACTCAATGTGCACTGCATAACACTGATGATGTCATCAGTTGTATTTTTTTAATTAAAAATTTCCCATTACCCTCAAAAGATCCTTAGGGATATTTTTCACCAAGGAGAAAAAATGAGACAGGGAGTCTTCAATTCCCCCAAATTACCACTGATGATAAAATCATCCTGCTAGCAGCAATTTTCAGAATTTAAAGACACTCCCCCAATCCTGCAGCACTCAATGGCTTCCCCATGACAAAAGGGAGCCAATGAGAGCCTTAGGACCTTGGGCGTGGGTGGAAAATGTTTAATTTCCAAATAAATCTGCCACAGCTGATTATATCAATAGACTTACAAGGTTACACTGCTGGATTTCAGCCTGTGATTCAGAACCAGAGGCAATTTTCTCGATAATGACAAAAATAATATTAGTGAACCTAGAGCAAAGAATAAGGGCAAGCAAGAGAATTGTCTTGATGGACACACTGAATACTACTTGTTCTAACAGGAAGACTAACATCAATGTACTGGCAAATTTAGTTACTTGTGTTCACTGGGGGCTATATGTGGTTTAAACAAATCTGCTTCTCCACCAAATCACTTAAATGGGGCATATTTTGCAATCCTAGTTATGTCAATCTAATGCTAAATGAAGTTTAGTCACAACTTTGCCTAGAAAAGTTTCAATCCTATATTTTGAAAGCAGGTAAACACATGAGGCAGGGGGAGAAAGATTTGGAACAAAATCTACCATAAACTGAAAGACAGGGGCAAAGAAGACCAGATAGTGTGGACAGGAGAATTAGAGTTTGTATAATTTTTTAAATGAACACAGCCTTATCAAGGTAGCACCTTGCCGTTGCTTCTGAAAGATAAAGTAGACAAGATGTCAGCAATGGTATTCTGACATGGCAGTGATCAAAAATGGAGGTCCAACATTACACAAAGATGGAAACCAGGCACCTTTGATTCATAGCTTTGCCCAAACAGTGCTAATTTGTTAATTATGTAGTTCCAAAATTCAGAGTGTGGCAGTGTCATGTCTAAAGGAAAGATATCCTGGATCGAAGAAGTTGCAAATAAATAACTACAGCATTGGCTCATCTTGAAGATGATGAGGCAGGTTAAGATTCACAGGAAAAGAAAAGAGAAAGTCAAGCATGTAGGTTTTAAGACTGACATGTTAAGGAAAATCAACACTGGAAAGAGCCAGCCAGTAAAATGTAGCAGAGAACATGTTATCAGTTGTTACAGTGAAGGTTGGTTAAAGGAATCAGGAAGGTTCTGAATGTCGAGAAATACCAGAGGGGGCAGCCCAAGAGGGGAGGGGGACTAGGAAGGAAGCAAACGCCATTGAAAAGACCTTGGGTTGAAAGGTCAAAAGGAGGAAGCTAGTCCTCCTTTGGCACTGAATGGATGGAGTGATGAGGAGACTGGGCACGACTGGGCTCAGTCTTTGAAAACAGCTTGGTGGCCATGAGGGCGCTCATCATGCATTATGTGTCGACGAACATGGATCCGTCGGACGCGGTGTTCCCGCCCATCTTCATCATCACCTGCTCGGAGGGGGCCTCCACCACCACCTGCCACCCCACCAGTAGCTTCCAGGAGAGCCCGGTCTGGCACTCGTGGTGTCTCGTAGATCAGAATGTTCAGGGTTTCCTCAAAGATCCGGGCCTCGGGAAACTCCACCTGCACAAATGGGAGAAGAAAAGCCAAATTGAGCAACAGCAGGTCTATCCAGTGCTACAGAGGGAGACAACATGGCCCAGAGTTTAGAAAACTCAACATTTTCAGATTACAACTGTTAAAATCTCCTGGATTTGGGAACTGTAGCCCCCCCCCCAAAAGGAACCCTCCCAAGCTCTGGTCTTATGCAAGTTTTCAGCAATTCAATATGGAAGCCCAAGTTCAAACTCCCACTCAAGACTTAAAAGTTCAGTGGATTACTATTTCTCAGTTTAGCATTCTCACTTGGCTGGTGCAAGGATACTGCTCCTGATTATCTTGGACGTTAAACACATAAAGAGTGAGCTAGATGGAAAGAACTGGATGTAGGAAAGTAGAGTTTAAGTCAGTAAGTAAAAAAGTGATAAGCTTAAGTAGTACCTTTTCAAGAGAATCATTGGCTGAAATCCTCCCCAACTTTAGAACTGTGCAGGTAGGATGATGTTATAATCCAGCAATGGGAATATTTAATTTGAATTAACTGAAAACCTATCCCCCTCCCTTTCAGATTCAGCTTTCTAGGGCTCCTTTTTAGCCCTGGGCAAGTGTGGGTGATCACAAAACAAAGGAAGGATAATTGCCTTAGAACAAAGGAGTCAACAACAAATATCCCAGCCAGCAGAGTCTCAAGGCAATGCCCTGAGAGCTCTTTTTATTGACTTAGTATGAGTTACATAGTATGTTGTTAGAATTCAGATAGGATTGTTGTTGTTAAGTCATGTCCGACTCTTTGTGACCCCATGGACCAGAGCAGGCCAGGCCCTCTTGTCTTCCACTGCCTCCCGGAGTTGGGTCAAATTCACGTTGGTTGCTTCGATAACACTGTCCAACCATCTCGTCCTCTGTCGTCCCCTTCTCCTCTTGCCTTCACACTTTCCCAACATCAGGGTCTTTTCCAGGGATCAAATAGGATACTAGTTACAGTGGTGCCCGCTTGACGACGATAATCCGTTCCAGCAAAATCGCTGTAGCACTAAGCCCGCTTGACGACAAATAAAAAACCCCATTGAAATGCATTGAAAACTGGTCAATGCATTCCAATGGTGGAAATGCCTCAACGTCCAGCGAAGGTCCTCCATAGGGCGGCCATTTTCTGGTGCCTGTCTTGCAAAGAATCCGTCCTGAACACTGCGGGGAGCCATTTTGCACAGCGAGCAGCCATTTTGAAAACCCGACGATCAGCTGTTTTTGATCGTCATTAAGCAAAAAATCGGTTCCCGAAGCAGTGAACCTATCGTCGTCAAACCCAAATCACCCATAGAATCATCGTTTTGTGTTCGCAATAGTGATTGCAAAAACATCGTCGTCAAGCAATTTCATCGTATAAAGAGGTAATAGTCAAGCAGGGCACCACTGTACCTAATCGCAACTAGGATTGGCTGAAATAAGTCTTTGATCTTATGCTCTACCTCTAAGCGAAAGGGCAGAATAAGGGGTTACCCCGCCTGCTGGCAGCTGCCACTTCCTGCCAGGAGTGTATGTACATCACTGGAACAGAATGCAGCTACAACCTTTAAGCAGAACTTTCCCACAGGCAAGCCTTTGAAAGCCTCAGGATTAGGGGGGAGAGAGAGCCTTTAATAGAACAAACAAACAAACAAAAAAACCATCTCTAGAGCATTGGTGCTGGGATCAGGACCACCACCAGAGATTTTTGGCTATTAACCCTCCCCTCCCCCATGTTCCAAGGCTCTCAAAGGCTTCCCCAAGACAAAAGTGCCTTGTTAAGAAAGCAGGGGAAGTAACTTGGGCTGGAAAGTGGGAAATCCATATCAACCAGACATACGTTATTACTGTAATAAGCCAGGATTTAATTAATAGACTGTAATAAATGGTAAGAACAGGAAGTGAGCAATTCAGTTGGTCTACCATTGAGTTAGCATCTTTGCGATTGGCCAGCACCTATGTGCCTTTATATATCATTTCTGCCTTCTCCCTCTGAAGAGAACCTGAAATATGTAATCAACTGCCAAAGACCAAAGGACGCCGCCATATGTAGCACCATTAAAACTATTTCTTTACTTGCCTTTTCATTGTAAGCAGGGTGGATCTGATTTAAATCAAATCCATTTAAATCACGATTTACATGTTAAAAATGGATTTTTGATTATTCCAATCAATAAATCTGATTTTTAAATTTAAATCATGATTTAAATTGATTTGATTTTCATCCATCCTAATTGTAAGCCACTTGAGAATCTATCCTGGATGAAGAGCAGGGATAAATATAATGAAACAATAATACGGTATATTAATTATTGGGCAACTAATAAAAATAACCTCAGTTTGATGAAGTGAAGCAAAGTGGTGCAATGTTAAGAGTTGGACCTCAGAACCCTAAAAATAAGCTATGCGCCCATCACTCCAGGTTAATTTTTCCCACAGGCACAGCAGCAAATTAAACTAGAAATGCTTGTTAAACAGGGCATCCAAATCCAGGATCCAGACTCATTTTATTTAGAGAAACCAGGATTCTACCTACACAATTCAAGAACCATAGCTGGATTACAAACCTTACCTGTAAAGAGAACAACAACCAGTACCTGAGGCCCAGATGATGCACTAAATCACTGGTTCTTAACCTTTGTTACTCAGATGTTTTTGGACTGCAACTCCCAGAAGCCTTCACCATCAGCTCTGCTGGCTGAGGTTTCTGGGAGTTACAGTTCAAAAACACCTGAGTAACAAAGGTTAAGAACCACTGCGCTAAATAACCACTTCTTCCATAGTTTACCACTTGTCCTAGCAAAAGCAGCCAAGAGGTCAAATATTCTGCAGGTACTAAATGTGCTGTAAAATCCCAAAATTCATCAGAATCCTTACTCAGTTTCATGCAAAGGCACCGAAAATGCATCAGGAAACTGAAGAGAGAGTGCAGCCCTTAATTGTACCTTGGTTTGCTTCTTCTCGGTGGCATAGACAATGGAGGTGCAACAGACTTCAGCAATCTTGCGGCCTTGCCCGTAAAACGACCAACAGCAGATCTCATCCCCAAGAACATCCTTGATGAAGAGCACTCGTCCGTTGAATCGCAGAGCTAGTTTGTCAAATAGTTCAATATTCTTCAGTAAGTGGTCATCAGAGTTACTGGAGGGGGAGGGGAGGAAGAGAGAAAAAACGGTGGTGTGGGATCTCCAAGATCCTAGCAGGGAGGTGGGAGATTTTCCTCTAAGCAAGTATGGATTGTGTGTGGTGAAGAAACAAGGACCAGCCAGATACACCCAATTTTAACAGCAAGGTGAGAGAGCTTACCTTGTGTATGAATACTTGTTATTACTTCTGTTATGCAGGAGTTTCACCACAGGCTAACAGGAAGAGAAAGACAAGGGATAAAAATAAACACCACAGAAATGTTAGAAAAAGGTACAGTGATTAGCTTCTTAGCCTGTTTTGACCTGATTAAGAAAACTTATCCTTTTCAGCAATCTGTACTAGTGCAGAGGAAGCCACATGGTCCTTATTCACAGAATATAGAAAATCAGTACACCACTTTTGAGACAAGTGGCAGGTTGGGTGAGCTGAGAAAGAAACATCACACAGGGTCATGAGCTAAGGGTCTGTATAGCATTAATTACAAGATGGCTGAGCAGCTCTATGCTAGAGGGATATAATTAGAAGAACAAAGTGGAGCCAAGCTGGATAGGACCAAAGGCTCTTCCAGTCTGCTACTGCTTTGTGTGAACTGATTGCCTACAGGAGGCTGACAAGCAGAATAGGAATGCAGTAAGATCCAGATGCTGATATACAGAGGCAAACTATTTTTCCTACTGGAAGACGTGTATAGCCAAGAGGACTACTAGACACAAATAACCCCAACCTCCATGAACTAGTCCAATCCCAAGAAAAACAGTGCTTCAGTAAATTTCCTTAGCCCAGAATTAAGAAAGGATCAGACAGTGCTGGAAAGGGTCACTTCGCTGGCTGTGATACCCAAGTAGGCAGCCAATGCCACCACCTTGCAGTAGCCAATTCCATAGATCTAATCATGTGCTATGCCAAGAACTACATATTTTGGGCTGTCCTCAATCTCCCATCCATCCTCAATCTTCACTCAAATAACTGGTGCAGATTCCTACTTTAACAATAATCTTTTGCTGGCTGCCTTGGGTTATTTTAAGGACAAGACAAAACCGTTACTGGCATAAAGAGAATAAAACATAACCAAAGTGGTTCATTAAGTGCCCCACACATACAAAATCCTGGAGGCAGGAATGCAGAAGACGAAACCCTTCAAAGACATTTAGCTGAAAACGAGGCTTCATTTTCTCACAATTGAGCTCATGAAATCTGCATTTCTTTCCAAAATGTCAGAGACCTCCACAGATAACATAAAATGGACTTTGTCCACACCAGATTTTCTTTTTATAAGGAGAAAGGTGGGATAAAAATATTTTAAATAAATAAACTAAATTCAAATCAATGCACTTCAAATTCAAATGGGAAATATTTAAGAAAAAGCGATACACTACATGACTGTTCCTGATACACTGGGTCTCTTGGCCCATTATGCCAAATCAGCAAAGCCAGATGTGCTGGGATAGGACTCCTATTATCCCAAACATCTGGACAGCAGCAGGTTATTGTAGTGTGTACTACAGCCTTCCAAACTAGAATTTTATTATTAGCGGTGAGAGATGGAAGGTAATAGAACAGATTTCTATGCTGCCTATGCTCACTATTACAGTATCAGTGGCCCTAGCCAATCAAAAAACACATAAACAAGCCACCTGGAATGACCTGACCCATTTCAGTTTTTTGTGACTTCAGAACATCTTTACCTTGGAACAGCTTGAGATGATCTGCTGCTCTTCCTTGGGCGATGTCACCATGGGGATGTGGCAGAGAGGATCATAGGCTTCACTTTTTTGCTAGGCAGAAAAAGAAACACAGGAAAACACATTACAAGTCTTTTAGATGTCTCAGAGTGCATCATACTTTTTTTCTGCCGACACCCTACATACTGTCTTGATGCCAGTGCACTCCAGGCAGCGTATAAAATGAAACTTAATGGCGTATAACAGACACAATACAAAAGGCCAGAAAGAAGGAAAGGATGGAGAAATGTACAGTAATTTTTTAAAAAAGCTCCAAAGTCATATAACTAAAAAATGACCAGGTCGAACAGTCACTGAGAGTGGAGGGACCGAAAGGCAGTTGGTGCCAGTCAGGGTGACGGAAGGGCATTGCTATGTCAACTCCCCCTCAGGACCTTCTGTTTTTTAAAGGCAGCATGAGCCTCAGACCCTATGTTTTCAGTGGGACTCTGCTCACCTGAAGTGCCAGCTGGCAGTCCTCAACCAAGCCTTGGATGAGGTAATAGCGGGCCTCACACAATACTTCCTCCAGCTCTCGCTGAGACTCCGGCAGGGATACGGACCCATCACGCAAGTAGTTCAAGATCGTTCCAAAGTGACGCCCACTCCGGTCAATCAAGATCCAACCTGGAAAGGAAAACCTGGCTTTTTAAGTTCCTGAACGAAAGATCCTGTGGAAGCAGTGATATAAAAGGGAAGGTGTCTTTTGACAAAAGAGAAGACTAACATTTTTAGAGGGGAAGAGCCCAAATGTTAATGTTCCTGTAATTTCCATATAATGCTGCACAAATAAGATCTTACATGAATTAGTTCAGATTAGTTTCATATGTTCTGCCTCACAAATAAAACGTAAGAACTTTAGCCATAAAATGCCCTTTTATGTAACCATTTTAGATGTCACTGCACAAGTCTGGATTGACACAAGACAAACTGCCAGAACAACAGCAGCAAAAACCACCAGCAGAAAATTCCCCCTAACTATACCTTCTTATCTCTGCTAACTATACCTTCAAACGGTAGTACACTGTTCAGCAGAGCTTCCCCCAGCACACCTAAGTAGACAGAAAGGACAATATGGAAAGAAGTTGTTCTTTAAATTAGGGATTGGAAAGCCTTTAGGTTTGTATATCCAAAATCAGATCTCCCAAGAGATTCACTGAGAGCCTGGTGCAAAAGACATACAGAAAGCAAGACATGCAGAAAGGAAGACCCAGCTCTAGCTTAGGTGAGCTTTTCTTGGGAAAGAGTTCTACAACTAAGCCACTACATCTCAGAAGGCTCCAAGCTATATCTTCATCATTCTTCTTAGTTAGATGGATACTAAAGGGGGGGGGAATGAATCTGAAAATCCTTTTCTCTCCAGATATAACACTATAAGCAAACACAATATAAACCCACAACTCAAGGGTTCTGCCTCACAGAGGAAGGTATCAATCTGAAATACTGTATATAAAAACTGAGAGTACAGTGAAGACTTTCTTCCCATAGCCTTCCCCTAGTTACCAAAAATTGCCTCCAACCTGTTTCAAAAGTGCCATTTCTCAAACACTTGTTGACCCTATGAGAAAGCAGAAGCATTTCACAAGTGCAATTCCTGGATCGGAGAACAGGAGACAAACTGCGAGAAGCAAAGGTATGTTCAAGTTTATTGTATTAGCTAAAAGCCATCACAATTGTTTAAAATATAAATATGGTCAAATAAAATCAGGATAAAATTAGAGGGATATAAAATAATAAGAGACCCTTCATATCTGGGAGTCTCCCGCACAATTGATCACGATGGCTTTCAGGAAATTAGCACGAATATTTCTGGCTGCTTTTGCAAACAGCGCTGTTCTGTATGTAACATATGGGTCACAGTCCAAAAGTAACCTGACCACCTTTATCTGAGGACTTTCCTCTTGCAGAGCAGCCAAAATGTTACCCAGGAACTTTTCTCTGGAGTTTTGATTGAGCTGACAGTTGAGTAAATAGTGGACAACATCCTCTATCTCACCTGCTCCACAAATACATAGCCTTAGATGTTTAGGGACATTCCTATCCCTGCCGTCTAAGGCAGCGGTTGGCATGGTTTGGAAACAGAGTTCTCTGAATGTGGTTCTCAAGGAGGCAAAAGGAAGTGTATGTAAGTATTGCTGCCTTGAATGGTTTGTTTTCAGCAGATGGTACCAATGAGAGAAATTTGAAGAGTGAATTAAGGCTAAATCCTGGTCATTATCTAATCTGTAGAACCAGTCCCTCAACATTCTTTTAACCCCAGAAAAAACAAAAATTATCTGTGGAGAGGGATTTAGATTTTCGTAGGATTTGAACTGAAGTTGCCCAACTGCCGCTCTTCCATTGCTCTACCATACAACATTTAGGTAGACAGTGGTCGGACATATCCATCACCCTCTTATAGTAAGAAAGTATAGCTAGAGTTGCCCTGGCTTTAATGGACACCATACCTGTCTCTGTTCTAAGAAATCTGCTGGGGTCCCCTGGGGTGCCGCAAGGATGTGTCTCAGAAATTTATTGTGTCCAAGATGGTGTAGGGTGTTCTGATTCACATCCCGCATCTCAAGTCCATAAAGCATTTAAGAGATGACTCCCCCTGAAAAGACTTTTAAAGCTGGGGTTACTAGTTTGCCAGCTTTAGAATGGAAAAATTTGACCAGAGCATGGTTAGATTTTTGAACTAATATTTTTGTGCTCTGTATTTGGGATTTCCAGCAGTTTTTCTCATCAAAATGCACTCCTAAGTACTTGAAGGTCTGGACTTGTTCTATTTTATTTTCGCCTATAGTCCAACTAAATTTAGGAGGATGCTTTCCAAAAATCATCACTTTAGATTTTGTGTAATGTACCTTCACTGTCTGTGAGCACCTCCATCCTGCCACTGAACATCGCCTTGAGCATCGTGTCTTGTTTGGTGAGGGTCTGTACAGTGGTGTAATGCAGGGACCCACCCACATTCAGCTTGACATACTTGCTGCTGGGGTTCAAAGGTTTGAGGTCAAAGGTCACACCAGCTACCCCTCCCCCGCCATCTCGTCGCTGCTGGGTCGAAACCAGAGGAGCACAATTCTCCAGGGGTGGGGCCGGGTCTGCCGTGGCTTCGGCTGACATAACCACCTGCAGAAAAAAGAAATGGGGCAGAGGAATCTTCCAACACCTGGGCATCACTGGTTGCATGGCAAGGCTGCGTAACACTTCAGATGTTGTTGGACTATATCTCCCATCAATCCAAGCCAGTGTAGCCAGTAAGCAGCAAAGGATACTTGGAGACACCATCTAACATCTTTCTCTCCTTAGCTATAGTAGGAGTCACAGTCAACACTATTGAGTTGCAGGTTCTCCATCCTCAGTTTGGGACATCTGGATACTTTTGTTTCAGAAAAGTAACATTTTTTTTCTACAGAGAATAGGCATTATAAAGGCTCATAAAACCTGCAGGGCAGTTTTATTTTTTCCTGCCTCACCATTGTCGTATGACTCACATCCTTCTCACACCTCCACTACTCACTGTCATGCCATTCCAACTAAGTTTTATATGGTTATTGTGAGCGTTCATGTAAATTAATTAAATATGTTCCTTGTCCTCTGCAGTAGAATTTGGGATGGCGGGATTTACCTTAGTTTTTCAGGAAGTCTCTTACCAGAGCAAGATACAAAACAGCAGCTCTGGCAAAAGATACAGATTATGAATTAAGAAAAACAGTGCTTCAGTAAATTTCCTTAGCCCAGAATTAGGAAGTGATCAGACAGTGCTGGAAAGAGTCATTTCGCTGGGTGTGATCTCCCTTAAAGTGACCTTTCTGTTTACATGTGATCCAGTCCAGATCCAGCCTAGCTCAAAAAACCAAACCAAACCAAACAAACAAAGGATAGATTTCCATGGTTGTTGTGGGTTTTTCAGGCTCTTTGGCCGTGTTCTGAAAGTTGTTCTTCCTGACGTTTTGCCAGTCTCTGTGGCCGGCATCTTCAGAGGACTGGAGTAGGAACTCTGCCCTTGCTCTGTTCCTACTCCAGACCTCTT